GTCACCTTTGGGACTGGAGGTATGGTCGGAACGCAAAAAAGGTCGGATTATCAGAAAAAAGTAAAATAAACAATCTTCCCCTTTGTCCAGTCTTTGTAGCACTGCTAATTTTTCATTTAATGAAAGAGTAACGTGTTTACGTTTCACTCCTGACATGTTGAAAACACACACAAAACTGTACATGTACACACAATGTAAAACATATACTGTAACGAACACAGAAAAACACCACGGACGGTGAGTCACCGACGAGTCGGGACAAGTTTCTTGACTCCGACCACGGTCGGATTAACTGGAGTGACGGACTAGAGGGGTTCTACTGTATTAACTAATATTACTACATAATGTTTATTAGTATATTGTGTCTTTTCTGGCTGGTAGTAGTTTTGTCCATTATCAATGTGCCCAACCAGTAAAGAAATTGTTCAGTACACTAATGAGAAGGAAGAGCGAGGCAACCAAAATATCCGTAAAATCACAAGAGTTTGGATTGGATTTCAATTCGGAACCCTCACAGATGCAGCAAATAATTTACCACGAACCATCTGACAAAACCTAAAACAATTATTCAAAATTAAATTTCAAATTCATTTAAAGTTTAATTTATTAATAAGAATTTGATAACTTCTTTGAATTTTTGATTCTGTAAAATACATCTTGGAAAAGTCAATCTTTTTCTTCGAACGACACCAACACATTTATCTTCCTAATTTATTTCTCTCTTTTTAAGATAAATTTTTAAATTACATAATTTTAAAACATATTTTACCTGTAGCATTTGCGGTAGTCTTGATATATCTAACTTGCAACAAATTCAGATCCGTATCGTCCACGTCGTCGGGATGGGGTTTGAAAACGAGTTCGATTTCATTCGGCGCTCCGGGACCGATTTCCACGTCCTGTCCGACGGCTTCCAACGTCTCGGATTCCGTTCCGCCGTCGTGATCGTCCCGTTCTCTCGAAGGCAAATCCACTTCCAATCTCAACTTCTGTTTCTTACGGGGCTGCGACGACGCACCGTCGACGGAGACCGGCACCGGAATGGAAACGGGTATGGAGACGGGAACGGTGGGATTCGGCTTGGACGCCGGAACGGGTAGCGGAACGGGCAAGGAACCGTTCTCTTCGCCAAACTGTTTCTTAACTTTTTGATTTGTTCGATTCAATACTTGCATTCTCATTCCTTCTTCTATGCTATGAGCAACAGCCTGACTATGTTGTACATTCAATTCTGCCAATTCTCTTTCTTGATGAGCTTCGTATTCTTCTCTACTGGGATAAATCTTCGAGATAAGCATGTCAAAATTCGGATCGGGACGTAACGATCTTTTCGAAACAAGTTTTTTTCTACAGTTCGGACATTCTTTGTTTCCACTTCTCAGAGCTGTTATAATGCATTCTTGACAGAAGCGATGCAAACACTCTTTGGTTGTCATGGTATTTTTTAATAAATCTAAACAAATAGGGCATCTCAACTCGGTACGAAGACTTCTAGGTAACACTGCTATTTCTGTATTGTCTGTAATTAAATCCTGAGGAGTTCTATGCAATTCGTACATACTTAATTCCCACGTTTTGTTGGACGATTGCGAATCCGAACACGACATTGTTGTCTGTTTCTTCTTGAATGTTTTTATCGTTATTTCCCTATCTGTAGGGATATATTCCTATCTTTGTCAAAACATAACATTTAAATAAAATGTAAATCGATAAAAGACTTAAATAAATTAATTTAAAATAATTTTTGTATAAATGGCTGGTAATAAATATATATAATTCGATCAAATATTTTAAAATTATTTCAAAATTTTTCCTTTTAATTCTTACTTTTTTCCCTTTCTACGGAATATGTAGTAAAAGCTGTCTTTCTCGAGGGAATTTCCCTGAATTTACAATCAATCTGAATGTGACGTCACATAAAATTTTTGTTAGGACGAATAAAATAATTTCTTTCAAAATACTTTTAAATTTGCGCTATTTTTAAATTTTTAAATTTTATATATTCTGAATTTTAGTAAAATTTGTTTTGTTTTTATATATTGTGATATTATTTTAATTCGATACGAATTTAGGTATATTTCTTAGTAAAATTCGTCCAATATTTAAACATATTTCGTCAAAAATTTTCATGTCTGAAACAGATGAAATGATTTTTATTTTATTTTCAAATTTGCTTTAATATATTTTACGATAATCAAATTTATTAAAAATTTATAACTTCACATACAGAATTATTGTTAAAAAATGCTGGCAATATATGATCAAAAATACTCATTTTTAGTATAAAAATAGATAAGTTTTAGACAAAGCGCATTGAACTCTTTCCCTCATTAACAGCCCTTTTTCCGCCCTGTAAGCAATAAGAGAACCTTTATTCCTTGCCCATGGCAGGTTCGATCCAAAGTCCTAGAATTCTAGGACCTTGGATCGAACCTGCCATGGGCAAGGAATAAAGGAATATTATGGAAGGGCAAGGAATAAAAGCATCTGGTTCGATCGGCATAATTTTGATTTGACTTAATGGTCGAAGGTCGAGCAGCGGCACAGATTACAGAGACTCTCTAATCTGCTGACAGGAGTTTTTCTACTATTCGCCCATGAAAACTTTTAGATTTGTAACATATTTTTAATTTGCAAGTAGATTTGGTGAAACCTTTAAAACACAGCAGCGTTTTGGCGATTAAAAAAAAAATACAGTACAGTAATACCCCGACTTACGATTTTCAAATCTCGTCGATTCGTCTTTTGTTTGAGCGCCACGCAACTCTTGATTACTCATTACCCCACACTATTGTTCAGCTTACATGTTCGGACGTGTCGCGCGGAATCGACACATAGCTACAATTTATTTTGTTATTTATTTCTGTGTTTGTTATATCTACGGAGACTTGAGAGACTCTATGTGGTGATTTCTTGTAACCGTGAACGAATCAAATGACGAGATAAGATTAACGAGAACATTTATTAGCTTACATATATTTGACTTGGATTTTACGCAAATTGCGAAATTATACCCCGACTTACGCGAATTTGACTTACGCGGTTATCGCTCGGTCCCACCTATCGCGTAAGTTCGGGGTATTACTGTATTACATTTTTTTTTATTTTTTCTAATTTAGTCAGTTTGGAAAATATTTGTTGCATCCTATTCTCATGTAATAGTTTACATTATTACGTACTTCCACCGGGGTCTCATAAATTGCATTTGGTGTAGTTCGGCTAGGAAATTGAAGAAAAAAACAGGCAATTTACATAGTAATTTGTTTTGTATATTTGTAATAACTATTGTATATTTAGTAAGTCTGTGTGAATATTTAAAAATTTTAAATCCGAACTCGAATTATTCGAAAAATGTTCTAACTTTTTCCCTCTCTTTTTTCTGCTTCAACATAGTACATAGAGTGGCTGTAGCGACGTTGTGTTGACAGAAAATTCAATACACATACGCCATTTTCTTTTTAGTCAAGGGAGCGTGGCATTTGTGTTGTGTAAAGGCAACGAGCTAAAATATTCTAACCGATTGTGTAAAAATCTGCAAAGGAAAGGAAGAGTTTTAACTCTTAACTAAGCAGATGCGAGTCAAAATTATTCCACATAGTTCTTTTTTTTTAATTTTGAAAAAAAATTTAAAAAACATTTCTTTCTTTAACTCACTTTTTAAACGTTTTTAAACGAGACAAAATATTCTGTAGCGATAAATACATTTCTAAACATTGTTAATTTTACTTTTTATTTTCCTCAAATCCCCCAAAATATGGAAAAAATGTTCCGCGTGTGTTGGCATCTATAAGAAACGAAATTTGGCATGATAGCTTGTATATAAGGAGCATTGATGTTCCTTATTGTTTTTTAATAGCATCATACCTGCTGGTTCTGCAACCTCCAAAATTATAATATTAAATATAAATTTTGAATATTTACACGAATGTAAGTACAGTGGAACCTCGATTATCCGGATTAATNCCCCGTGTACACGGGGTTGAAACACAGGTTTGTACACAGAAGCTTGTACACGGGGTTGACCCACAGGTTGAAAAACACTGCTTTAGAGCCATCAGAAAAAAAGGCACACACGCATTGTACTAGCTTAGTGGACACAAAAATAGAACTTAGTCAAATTGCAGGAATGGCATGTGCACATGGCTACCATAACAACTTAATCTATAAACTAGCACATACTGTAGCTATATAATCCAAAAACACGGATGCACTGACTCTAACGTGAATGTTTGCCCAAGTAGAAATGAGGATGGTATGACTATTTCTGACTGTACAATAATAAGCTATAAGAGGGGTATGCATACTATATTTAAAGAAATAGCAAAGTTTAGGGCACTCAAATCTGTACAGATGCAAACAGATGTAATCCAACCACATATAATCTTTCACATAATAGAAAAGACCCCATCAACATTGACAGGGCATCAGGTTTATATGATCCCACTGCAGAATGACAGGTTCCAGATGGATTTGATCAATATTGGTTCTACTAAAAGATGCCCATAACAATGGTTAGCAGAGCACAAGAAGCAATCCACCATCATATCCATATATGGTTATGACAACAACATACAAGCAAAGTTACATCAGTTGAAAGTTGTAAGATACGTTGCACACATATACAGACCAAATAAAAGAACTGGAAAAACTGGAAATTTTTTAAAGCAGACCAGCAAGGACAATGCATTAACTTTAAAAACAAAAAACACATTTCATGCATGGCAAAACATTTCTAACATATTTTTATGATCTCAATTACATCAATCAAGAGTGAACACATCCAATTGGTCTGTCATAGAAATTAAGTTACTTAGGAGCATTCTGTTTTAGAATGAAACATTCCATCCCAGAGATTTCAACCTGAGGCAGATCTTAAGACAGAGAATGTTCTTAAAGTGAATTCAAGACTCTGGACTGGTTTGGAAGGTGTTTATGTTTAATTATTAGATTCCAATTATCCAATTTTGTAGAAGATTCATACAACAGCAGAGAGAAAACATTGTGTTGTGGAACATTTTCTTAAACTTATTTAAAATCTGATAATGGCCTATGATACCTTATGAACCTGATAATGGCAAATGCTCAGGTGTTGTGGTGAGGTTTTATTTTATAGAAGATTTAATTTTGTACTATGTTAATTTTCCCCACCATTTTCCAAAAGTTTAATAATAAGATTAGCTATGCTAACAATTAACTTGATGAGTTTAACTGTTATTGACCTCTGCACATTCATTATTGCACTTGTTAAATCTTGAAACTATTTCCCTCCTCCATAAATATCTTTAACCATACCTTCCCAAATGTTTTCTGTCAGGTTTGGATCTGGACTCAATGCTGACTGGTCTATAATTTAATATCTTCAAAATCAGTAAATCATAGCACCATATAAAATTATGACAAGTAACCAGTCTTAATATAAGAACTGCTTGTTTTTTATTGGTAAAACATTTTAAACATCCCATATAGTACATTCAGTCATCATCAGTATCCATTAAAAAACAACTCTGTTTTGAATACTATAATTTCTTTATAGTTTAATATTTTAAACTACTATTTAGATTCTTTAGATACATATATACATGCATTAACCTATTGATACATCCAAACTTTATCTCCAGTACTTTCTCAACTCAGTAATAATCTTTTTTCCATTTATGTTTATTTAATCTTTTGAATTCATTCTCCCATTAACAACAAAGGCAGTTTATCCAATTTTTCCAAACCCAACCCAAATCATAACAGATGCACAACCTTGAACTCGTTTTTTAAATAACTGCAGTTCATATCTAAGGGTTGTGCCTATGGGCCATCAGGCCATCTAAGTTTCACTTCTTCTCATCAAAAAATATGATTGCGTACCAATAATCTGGTTTTCACTGTGATGTCATGCAAAATCAACACGAGTATAGATGTATGGAATGAGACAATGACTGATAAGGGGTTAAAGGAATGGATGTCTTCAATCTTTAACCCCTATTTTCTGAGTACAGTAGAATGGTCTGTGTTAAGTTCAATTGTAACGTGTGTCAGGTGTGTGGATGTCAGCAAGTGTTGATGGATAGTCCACAGCTTTGTCATATGTGTCAGGTGGGTGAGGTAATAGTATCCCCAAGAATGGGGGGTGAGATTGTCCCGCCTAGAGAGGGAGAAATTGTGAGAGAGGGAAAATTTGTGGGCTTCCCTTTCTGTGTGTGTGTCGAGTCAGTGTTGTGTGTGAAGTGAGTGCTGACCGGGGAGCTAACCAGAGTGGGTAGCTGTGTGACTGGTCAAGAACCAGTATTGTAATTATCAAATAATTGTCGGGTGCCAGAGTGTTGCTCAATTGTGGAGTGCCAGAGAGTCACTCGCTCATTTGAGACATTAAAGTGTAATTGTGTTGTTATTGTTAGAAAGGAAGTGTGTACTGTGTTCTTTTTGACCGTGTAAATGGGAACATTTTACACCATCATTTTAAATACAACATTTTCTGGTCCGTTGAGGCGGATGGTGGTAACGTTGAGTGCAGTGTGGATGACGTGGATGGAGTGGATACAGCGGATGGGATAAAGATAGTGTTGAGTGCAGTGGAGTAAATTGGTTTCGTCAACCTAATGTCATTCAAACTAGAAAAAAACTAACCAGAGTTCAAAAAGGAATGTACAAAAAGCTACAAAACCAATAATTTACAACAAT